ACTTCTCAGGGTCACGCTGTCTCCTGGCATGGCCGCTCCAGACCCGTCGCCATATTAAAAGCCAGAATTAAGTGTTCTAATGAGCTGAGCAGAGGAGGTTGATTTTACAGACAGCAAAAGGCAGAAGAAAGCAAAACCAAAAGAAATGGGTTGGTTATTTCATATTTACTTTCCTCCTAAGGTGAGAACAGGAAGACAGAATAATAGAAATAAAACTATTCCTCTTGTGGAAGAATTAAAGGAGGGGGAACTCCACAGATATTTCAAGTATTATGTATTCAAGTCTGTTTCACTTTTGCTCTTTATATTTTTCTCCCATTTTTCAAACTTTACTTTGCAGTTCCAGGACCTAACTAGCTGTGCTTATCTAGACAGCCTCAGAGTAAAAGTGTTCTTTTTAATTTCTGCACAGCAAATTACTACCTCATTCTGTTTCTGCTTTTTCATTCCCTTTTTCTTTTTTATGGTTTTAAGTCTCTCTTCTGTGTGCTTATTTCTCTATGTCATAATGTAGTTGGTCTTCTGTCACCCCATTTTCTTTTTCCCTCTGACTCTCCCTAAAAGCCTTTCCCATTCTCCTTGTAGTTGTTGACTATTAAAATGCAAATAAAATTATGTACTTACAGGACTACATTATTTGCTCCCTGTGGTTTAGAAAGTTGCAGTGTACACCATGGTGTAGACACAAGCAATATTTTGGCACATAGGAAGTAAACTTTGTAATGCTTTTTATGTACTTTTAATTCATAAGTATTTTTTTTAAATGATGACTACATAAAGTTTTACTGTTTGAAATAGTTCCCATATTTAAGTGCAGAACCATTCTATATTCAGTTGCTTCAATATTGTTTTTCTCTTATGCTTCCCAATATCATTCACTCAGACATGGTGCTGTGTGTGGTTCCATTAATGTGGGGTGTGTTCTTTGTGTTCTTGTGACTGGAGTTTTGCTGTGGCCTCATATTCATGAGACCATGCAGTTCACATGGAAGAGTTTAAAATCTCTGTTATTTCAGTGAAGTGCAAACTGAATACAAAATAAAACTATATTTTCTATTTCTTATGCCAATCTATATTGAACTTATGTTTAAATTTGTTCAATTAACACAGTATTTTAGGTATGTATTTATACTTATGTCTTCATGCCTGTTTATACTCTCCTTGGAAAAATAAAATTTTATTCACACTATTATCACTAGCAACAAGGCAATTTCTTAAGGTATAAACTAAGTTTTGTAATATTATTTTTATTAATTGATAAGTTACTACAGTACCAGGATATTCTTTCTTTGATTTTTCTTCCTCCCATTCTATGGAGTACAACAACATGGCATCTTATATAAGATACATATGACACATACACACACAGAGGTGTGAACTCCCAGATTTCTGTTTTGTGACCCAGGAATGTTGAGTTGAGAACAATATGTCATTCCAGGAGTTGGTATCATTTGAGGATGTGGCTGTGGACTTCACCTGGGAGGAGTGGCAGGACCTGAATGATGCTCAGAGGACTTTGTATAGGGATGTGATGCTGGAGACCTACAACAACCTGGTGTCACTGAGTGAGTAAAACTCCCCAGTAACTTTCAGGAGAAAAAGTTTCTTTTTTGTTCATAAATATAGGAGCCACTTATAGGGTTTCACACTATTTTGGTAAGATTACATTTCTTGAATATATGCTCTCTTTCTTTCTCATGAGGTTCAAATTGGCCTCTTTATTGCACAACATCTGAAGCTGAGCTCTTGCCATTCTTCAAAGGATCAGACTTAGCAGTTTTGCAAAGTCCTACATTACTTCCCAGTAACAGAACACTGCATTAAAACTGAGGTTATTGTCAAGTTAGGAGAAGCAGAGCCATGGGCAATAGAAGAATGCCCAAACCAGATCCTGCAAGATTTGTCAGCACATGCAGTGCAGAAGCCAAGAAAAGTAAAGCTCATTAGATATTGGCAGTGTTCAGCTGTTTCTAGCAATTTCCCCCACATGTCCCAGACTTGAGGATGATTCATCTGCAATCCTGTATTACACAGTTTCCAAGGTGGGGTGTCCCATGTACATCACAATATTTTATTTGCTGAATCTGTTTTATATGTGCCCCAAATCTAATTTCTACATTTCTCTTCTTTGACATGTATTTTTCCTATTTGTTTTCCTAACATTTTCAGTTGTGCTTGTGTTTTCAGTTCTCCTATGCATTTTTTTATATTGTATCTGTTTGTTTTCTGTTGTTTCTGACAGAATAGCTGCAACTGAGTAATTTATAAAGTGAAAAACTTTTCTTACATGTCTGTTCTGGAGACTCAGCATTCCAAGTTTAAGGGGTTGCATCTCGTGAGGGCCTTTGTTCTGGTGGGGACTCATCACAGAGTCCCAAAGTAGTGCAGGGACATAGCAATTCACTGAAAAAATAGGAAAAGAGGTACAGCAATGAGCCTTGTACCACCACATCAAAAGTCATGAAGTGCAGAAGAACCCTGCATGGGAGAATGGAAAGGGGTCATCCTTGACTTTGAAGGAAGACAAGGACGTTCTGGGTACTAATGACATGTGATTTAAGGGTTCCATGTTGAGGGGATAAGATTGTTGATTGGGAGTGGAGTTCAAAGTTAGCATTTTTCTCTTTTCTTTGTGGAAATCATTCAGAAAAAAATCCAAAATGAGAAATGTGCAGGAGACATTTTTTATGAGAATAAACCACCAAAACTTCACTGCACAAAACAAAAGCTTTCACAAGAAATGAATTATCAAGTGGTCATCCATGTACCAGAAATTGGGAATAGAATACAAGTTGATTTGAGAAGGAGTCAAAACAACAGATTTCAAAGATTGTGGGAATAGCCTTGGATGCAGAACCAAATATTTTAGAACAGAATTCGGTGTCTAGGGTAGAGAACTGACATTTCCTTTATTGTAATAGTTTATGAGAAGCAGAGGAAGTCAGCATAAATGAGAAACTTGAAGGAAGCTATCTTTATCTAGAGTTGAGAAAAGGATATTTTATTCTTTGAAAAATGTCCACATTCCTATAGCCATTTTCTAAGGGAGGAGTGTAAAGCGTATAAACATAAATGCAAAATACTTATCCTCAGCCATCTTCCTGCACATGTGATAAAAAATTGGCTCACTTCTGAACCTGAAAGTAGCTGATGAAAGAAAACCTAGCCATCTTCACAGTGAAATAATGAGAAAATTGTAGCAGGAGACACTGATTGTTGTAAAAATGAAACAGAGAAAATGGTGTAAAGAAACAAAAAGGTGCTTAGCTAAAAACTACAAGTAGGCCGAAAATAAAAATTCTTAACAAATATTTGCTCATAAATTAAAATTTAAAAATGAACAAAGGAAAGAAAAACATGATATAACATTAGAAAATAAATTAGTACAATATTACATTGTCAGTAAGAAAAAATTCCATAAACTCATGAAACCAACATCCATTATTGATTTTTTTTAAGTAAAATCTTGTTACTAGGATTGGAAGGCACTTCTGTATCTTTACTTGAGCAATCAGTGAGATGCGCTTATGTGTGGTTCATTGTCAGTTATTTTTTTCTAATTTCAGATGTCCAGATAAATGACCTCATGAGAAGGAACCAAGAAAGTCATGGTAGATGCTTGCAGCAAGTTGTAATCAGAAACAGGAACACAGCTGAGGAGAGAGTTGCATTAGGAAAATCATTTTATTTGAATTCATATGTTTTAAATCTAATTATAAACAATGGAAACTATTCAGGAAAGGGACATGAGAAGTTTTACATATGTGAGAATGCACTTCTTCCTAGAGAGCCTGATGAGGTGCCTGCTGTACTGAAACCTGACAACCATCATATAACTGGAGAATTGCCCAGACATGACCACCTTAGTCATCATCGCAATATTCAAACAGGGAAGCAGCTTTTAGAATACAGTGGAAAAGGGAAACCCTCTGACACAGAGCCAATAATATTTACATGTAAAAAGATTCATATGGATGAGACCACCTATAAGTATAACAAATACAGGAAAGGCTGTGGTAAGTCAACTGTCACTGCCCAGGAAATAAATCAGATAGAAAAGAAAACTTTTCGATGTGGTATATGTGGGAAAATGTTCTATAAAAAGTCTGAATTCACTAAGCATCAGATTATGCACACAGGAGAGAAACAGTATAAATATACTGAATGTGAGAAATCTTGTATTAAGGAATTATACCTTACCTCACATCAGAGAGCACCTACACAGGAGAAGCTTTATGGTTGTAATGAACATGAGAAAAATTTTTGTCAGAAGTCAGACCTTACAATGCATCACAGAACTCACACAGGAGAAATGTACTATAGAAATATTAACTGTGGAAAAACCTGTGAGAATTCACTCCTCAGCCATCCTGAGAGAATTCACACAGGTGAAATACCAGATGGATGTAATGAATGTACAATATTTTTCCACCATGACTCTGACCTCACTGTATATCACAGAATTCACACAAGTGAGAAACTATGTAGAGAATATAAAAAATTTTTTTACAGTAATAAATGTGGTGAAGGCTTCCTCCAAAAGTCATATCTCAGCATTCATCAGAGAACTCACACAGGTCAGAAACCATATGAATGTAGAGACTGTGGAAAAGCTTTTAACCACAAGAGAGAATTCAGCAGGCATGAGAGAACACACACAGGCGAGAAACCGTATGAATGTAAAGAATATGAAAAAGCTTTTAGCCAAAAGTCACACTTCAGCATTCATCAGAGAAGTCACACAGGTGAGAAACTATATGAATATAAAGACTGTGGAAAAGCTTTTAACCACAAGGGATACCTCAGCAAGCATGAGAGAACTCACACAGGTGAGAAACCATATGAATGTAAAGAACGTGGAAAAACTTTTAACCAAAAGTCACACCTCAGCATTCATCAGAGAAATCATGCAGGTGATAAACTGTATGAATGTAGAGAATGTGAAAAAACTTTTAACCGAAAGTCAAACCTCAGCAGGCATCAGAAAAGTCACACAGGTGAGAAACCATATGAATGTAAAGAATGTGGAAAAGCTTTTAAGTTAAAGTCACATGTCAGCATTCATCGGAGAATTCACACAGGTGAGAAACCATATGAATGTAAAGAATGTGGAAAAGCTTTTAAGTTAAAGTCACATGTCAGCATTCATCGGAGAATTCACACAGGTGAGAAACCATATGAATGTAAAGACTGTGGAAAAGCTTTTAGGGAAAAGTCACAACTCAGCATTCATCAGAGAGTTCACACAGGTGAGAAACCATATGAATGTAAAGACTGTGGAAAAGCTTTTAGGGAAAAGTCACAACTCAGCATTCATCAGAGAATTCACACAGGTGAGAAACCATATGAATGTAGAGAATGTGGAAAAACTTTTAACCAAAAGTCAAACCTCAGCATTCATCAGAGAAATCACACAGGTGAGAAACCATATGAATGTAGAGAATGTGGAAAAACTTTTAACCGAAAGTCACACCTCAGCAGGCATCAAAAATGTCACACAGATGAGAAACCATATGAATGTAAAGAATGTGGAAAAGCTTTTAGAGAAAAGTCAAACCTCTGGAGGCATGAGATAACTCATACAGGTGATAAACCATATGAATGTAAAGAATGTGGAAAAGCTTTTAGTGAAAAACGCAGAACTCAGCAGGCATGAGAGAATTCACACAGGTGAGAAACCATATGAATGCAAAGAATGTGGAAAAGGTTTTAACTGCATGTCCTACCTCAGCAGCCATCAAAGAATTCACATAGGTGAGAAGCCATGTGAATGTTAAGGAATGTGGGAAAACAGTTTACTGGAACTCACCATAATAAACATGAACAAATTCACATATAGGAAAATCCCAATTAACATAATGACTGGGAGAAGGTTTTGCCATAAATCCCATGTAATGTTTCATCAGAGAATTCAAACCAAGAAAAAGCCCTATAAATGCACAGCTGCTCCTTGGTATTGGAGGTTGGTTCAAGATGCCCCTGTTGATGAAAACACTTGCAAATGATGAAGCCCCTTCTATAAATGGTGTAGTGTTTTAATATCACCTATGAACTTTTTTCTGTGTCCTTTTCATCTTGAGTAGAATATTTATATTACTGAATACAGAAGGAATTCCTTGTAAATAATTGTTATACTGTGTTGTTTTTTACTTTTATTATAGTCTTTTTTTTTTTGAACTTTTATAAGTGGTTGGATCAGCATAGGTGCAACCCTCAGATATAGAAGGGGATTAATAATTGTGAAAACATCTTTTTCCAGCAATTACATGGCTGGCTATAGTTAGCATATTGTTGTTTTGAGCATGGTGCTGATAACATCATGGGTCCCTGTACTGGCCAGCAAGTGGGGGAAAAAAATAAAGAAAGAAAAAAGAAGAAAAGTAAAGTGAAAAGAACTCACTGCAGCAGGCATGAGATAATTTATATGGTGGAAATTCTGCATGGATTAGACTGGGTATGTATTTTCTAAAACCACCTTTTTTCTCTTGTACACATGCCTACAATCTCAGCCTTTAATTTTTGTGTGTGGACATGTAATTTAGCTCTGTTCAGGGGAGTATGGATATAGGTGGTAAACATTACTTCCAGGCCAGGCAATTAAAAGAAAATGTTCATGCATTTGTCCCTGATTTCTCATTCTCTGGGACTGAAGGGCAGATGACTCCTAGGTAGAGTCAGGGGCCATAGATGGGAGAAATTTACCATAATTTAAAGCAGACTGAATTGAAGAAACCATAGTTCTTTCCAACTCTACCCCAAAATCCTGTATTCATACTTTATGTAAGAGATGCTTACTATGGTTTGCCATTTCATGTATGATCTCTTTGAGTTACAAGTAGCCCACTGTGCTGACTTTATGAACTTTCTGAGAGAAGTTACCAATTCTTGAATATGAGAATATTCACACAGAAGAGAAACCTATATTGTCACCTTTTATGCCCAAGTCTGCTTATCCCAAATTCAATTATAGGGAGAAACATTGCAATACATATGGAACACCTTACCAGGTAGGGACTTCTCATTGAACAGTGACAAGTTTATCTTCATCAATATCTTTAATGTGTCAAAGCTTTCAACATTGCTTTTATTTTTGTATATCAGATAATTTGAAATGAAAACTATCAATTTATATAATGTGAATGCAAATTTTCAAATAGAATTGACAAATGTAGAATCAAAACTATTTTAAAAGTTTTGGCTAACAACAGATAATGTGAGTGGTGATATTGCCTGCCAGGGGATATTTGTTTATCTCTGAAGACATTTTTGTTGTCACAACTGGAAGTTAAAAGGTCTAGGGGAAAGAAGCCAGAGATGCTGCCACACAGCCTGCAATGCACAAAACAGCGCCCAGTACATTGCACTTATGGTATAAGTATTATTTGTTAAAATTTATCTTAACAGAAGCCAGCACAACTACAGATATCAGCACCGCACTCTACCGAGTGAGCCACGGGCCGGCCCAGCACAACTACAGATAGGAAATACTTACACACAGGATAATAATATGACTTACATCAGAAATTTTTATTAGGCTGTTCATTGTTACAAATTATTCTTTATGCCCCTTATGCAATCTCTCCCCTTCCCCTCCCCCTACTAATCACCATAGATTTGTTCTCTCCATCTGATAGATTAACTGATCCTCGGTTTGTTGTCTAGATCATCTGTCCAGTACAGTGACAGATATGGTCAAGTTCTCTCTGATTATCATAAGTCATATGCTTCTTTTACTCTGGAGTGTGTTTTGTGGAGAGCGTGTGGGGGGGGGTTGTTTTGTTTTGTCTCCACTGGTGCCTCTCCTTGTGTCAATACAGTTGAGAGTCTGGTTTAGCATGTGCATAGTGCCTGTGACTGGTGCTACAGAGCATAGCTGATTTTGCAGTAGCTATGGCAATTGTGGTGGCTATGTGGGCTACCTGCATGAAAATGGTGTTTTTGGTATGCTCCCCTGACTCCATGCCTTAGTACCTCAGTGTGGCCCAGGGTGGTGGTGGTAGCTTTCTCAGTTCCAGCTGGGTTCAGCTTTTCCCAGCTCCATGCCTCCAGACCCTGGCAGGGCCCAGGCATTGGTGGCTGCTTGCCTAGTCGTGGCTGTCTTCAGCTTCCCCTGGCTCCATGGTTCATTCTAATGTGTTGTTTAAATGCCACTTCTTTATATTTTGTTAAATTTATTGTCTAAAGTACTGTGCTTCTTACTTTATTTCTACTCTCCTATTGTAGGTAAATTTGTATGGCCATTATTACAAAACTCTCTCTTAAGTAAATGTAATTTTTTCGAATGTGTGAAGCTAACAGAGAGCCAGTCAGTGGGTTAAATAGAAATACTTCCATGAGAATGCACAGATCAGGCACATAACTGTTAAGAGATTAAATCTGCAGTCATTTAAACTGCTATAAACAGTAGTATTTATCATATTATAGTTAGTGAGAAGTACTGTCTGGAAGGAAGATGTGTCCTTTATTCCTATTTCTCATATTTTTAAATGGTACTACATAATAGATATGACTGTGTGTACCACATGCTCTGTACTTCAGGACTATCTTGTGTTTACATCTGTAGTGATGGAGTGCTATGTTTGAATCTTGCCACTAAGAGAGGAAACAGAATAAATACTAGTTCCACTTGTGTATTGCCTTGTGCATGGTTCTTCTTGCACACAGGTCTGCAGACCTAGCAATGGACCAAGAGGCTGTTTTCACTGAAGAAGCCTCCTGGAGTCTGCAGTGGCCCCTTATCCTCAAAGCCCCAGTGAGGGGAGGAAAACCAGGCCCAATGAGGGATAAAAGTGAGTAAGACAAAATGGGGTCCAGCATAGAACTTGAGGTGTGGTTGATTGCAGGTGTTGCAGGGCCCTGTTACGCAGAGAGGTCACTTCAACTTGACACCCTTCTGTCCCTGAATCTCTAGTACCAGTGGGCAGAAACTACAGCACCATTATTTCTTTATCATTATCACTTTATTATTTTCTATTTTCTGTTCTTTAGGGGTTTAATTTTTCTTTTTCTTGTTTTTCAGTTGGAACGTTAGCTTTCTGATTTCAGATCTTTTCAAAATATAGATTTTCTTTTTTTTGTCTGTTTTCGTGTCCAGCAACGGATCACAACCCTCAGTGTCGCCCCCGGACCGGACCGGGACCGGCAACGGGATCGCAACCATCGGTGTTGCTCCCGTGCCTTGCTCAGCCAGTGAGCGGGAACCAGTCTGTATGTGGGATCCGAACTATAGCAGTGCGCCACCGGGCCGGCCCAAAATATAGATTTTTTTGCTATAAATTTTATTCTAACCCCTTTATAAGTTCTGGTATATCATGTTTTTTTTCAGTCTCAAAATGTTTCTATTTTTTGTGTGTGACTTTATGGCTTACTGGCTGTTTAGAGTTTGTTGTTTAATTTCCACATAATTGTGAACTACTGAAATATCCTTTGGTTTATCATTTTCAATTTAAATCTGTTGTAGTCAGAGAACATACTTTGTGTGATTTTAATCCTCACATTTATTGAGGCTATTTTATGGCCTAGCAAATGGTGTTATCTGGGGTCTTTCCATGTGCACTTGAACAGAATGTGTGTTCTGCTGTTGGGTGAATGTGTTGTCCATATACATATCTGTAAAGTCAAGTTGCTTTTAATGTTATCCAGGACTCCTAAACCATTGTCAGTGCTTTGCCTAGTTCTTCTATCCACTGGTAAAAATTGACCTGGCTATCTGTAAATATTTATATAGAATAGTCTGCATCTCTCTTCTTTCCTAATTATTTTCATTTAATGTTGGGCTTCTGTGTTTGATGCATGTGCATCTATAATTGTCATGATGTTCTCATGACTGACACTTTTATCCCCAGTAACATGTTTGTTTTAATATTTATTTTGTCTGATATTAGTATGGCCAGCCAGTGTAGCTGACTTTGGGTTCTGTTTACATTGCATATCTTTTACCATCCATTAACTTCCAACCTATTTATATCTTTGAATTTAGAGTGTTTGTCTTATGCACAGTATTTAGGTTTTCCTTGTTTATATTTTTTAAAAAATTCATTCAGGCAATTCCTGCCTTTAAAAATTTTTATTCTATTTTAATTGACAGATTATAACTTTATATGTTCATGAGGTACAATGTGATGTTTCGACACATATACATTGTGAAATGATAAAAACAGATTGATTAACATTCATTACATCACATATTTATTATTTCATGTTGAGAACATTTAAAATCCACTGTTAGCAACTTTGAAATATACAGTGCATTACTCAGCTATATTCACCATGCTGTGAAGTACATAACCAGAACTTATTCCTCCTGCCAAATTAAAACTTTGTACCATTTGAACATGTCCACATTTACCTTTGACCCCCATCCTAACCTTCAACTTTGGTGACGTCCATTGTATTTTCTGTTTCTCTTCTTTTGACTTTTGTATGTACTACATATAACTAAAATTATGTGGTATTTGTTTTTTTGTACCTGGCTTATTTTACTTAATACAATGTCCTCTAGATTCAGCCATCTTGTCACAATTGACAATTTTTTTTTTCCTATAGCTGAACAGAATTCCATTTTTAAATGCATGATATTTATTTTATCTGTTCATTTCTGCAGTTTTTATATAGAGCATTTCTGTAGTTTTGATATGACGCCTGTTGTGAATAATGGTGCAGTGAACATTGGAATGGTGATATCTCTGACAAACTGATTTCAATTCATTTGAATATATATGCAGAAGTGGAGTTTTTATAGATCTATTGTATATTTATTTTAGCACTTTGAGAAAAATTTATGCTACTTTCCAAAATGTGTTCTAACACACTCCCTCCTACAGTGCATGATTGTTCTCTTTTCTTCACATGCTCATGAACAGTTAGTTATCTTTCATCTTTCTGAGAATAGCCATTCTAACAGCTGTTAAGTGTTCTCATTGTGGTTTTCAAATTGTAATTCTCAGGATTAGTGAAGTTGAGGATTTTTTTCTTACTTCTTTTGGCCTTTTCCTGTCTTCTTTTGAGAATTGTCTATTCAGGTTCTTTGCTCATTGTTTGAATAGTTATTGGGGGGTTTTCAAATTGTAATTCTCAGGATTAGTGAAGTTGAGGATTTTTTTCTTACTTCTTTTGGCCATTTC